TTAAGCCCCCCCCCTGGACAAATTCCTGAATACGCCCCTGGAGGCAACTGAAAACATTACAAAATGAATTCTGTACAGTCGTCTTTATAAATATCTTAACCCTGTATATTGTCTGCCGGGTATATATACGGCTGAACCGATTATGTGGGACCTGACCTACACAATATATCTACAAAATATATTTTAACATAAAAATAGAAAAGACAGGTTTTTGAACAAAACAATGTTTTTATTTTATTTACTTTCATTGAACAATATCAGGATGATTATAGTTTTGCATGATGAAAAATATCCTTAATAAATACTGAAAAAATGTGTTATAATACATTATTCATGATCCAAGCACCATGAGTAATAAATATATTTCAAATTTGTGTTTTACTCCGGACCGGAGGTATAGCTCCCAGCTCCGGGTTTGGGAGTGGCTGTAGCTCTCTCCTCCTTTCCCATAAACTTAACACAAACAAAGAATTAACGCGGATTTCAAATTTAAAAATTTTCCTGATACATCCTGCAATTTTGAACAATATTTTCAGAATCCTCGCTCATCTCAAAATGCAGATAGATTTAGCGAGTGTAATTTAAGATATTTTCGCATGCTTTTCTATCCTTTTATCTTGCTCTTCCTGCTTCCGCAGAAGAAGCAGTCTGTCCAGGGTGGATGGAGTTGAATATTTTTCACAAAATATTTTCCTTTAAATCCATATAAATTCGCCCTGTAAACTGTCGTAAAAATGTTTAAGTTTATGTTCTGAGAAAGAACTTTATTTATCCCTGAAAGAATTTGGCGCAACTGAAGTCTCTGGAGTTTATACCGGCCGGGACGGAGTGACTCAGTACTAGACGGTTAAGGTTTACTTTACTCTAGTCCATCCCTTCTCCAGGTCTAGTCAAACACACATATATCCATCCTGCACCATGTCCTGGCAAAGTTATGTCGATGACCAGCTCCTTGCTACCAAGGTGGTCACCAAAGCGGTCATCGCTGGTCACGATGGTTCTATCTGGGCAACTTCTGAAGGGTTTAAAGTAACAACAGAAGATATTAAGAAGATCCTTGCTAACTTCGAGAACCGAGATCTTCTAGCACAGAACGGTATTACAGTCGCAGAAACAAGGTATGTTATACAAATAATTGAGCCATTGCAGCACACTCTGATTTTCTTATCCCAATATTTTTGCGTTCCAATGTCGTAGAACTAAATATGAATTGTGTTAGATTAAAAATATTAGTTTTAAATATAATAGGTTTACATTATAAGATTGCAAAGATATATGGATTAGAAAGTGTGAAGGGATTGGTTGGTTGTAAGATATGTAGTCCGTATCTTTTGAAAACCTTTTGGTCAGAACAA